GAGGGGCTTCCCCCAGCTGCCGCTGCTGCTGTCCCTATTCGACATTTCCGGTTATCCGACCATCCTCCAGTCCCGTTTAGGTCGGATAAGCAAGACTTTACTGTAGAGTGAAATTTTTGCTTTCCATTTTAACTAGATTAGTTTGATAGGTTTAAAATAAAGACTCCCAACAATCTGGAGAAGAAATAACTTTAGAAAATCTGCAGAATGCTTATTATTCAAGCCCCTTTTCTATAACAAAATCCAACTGTACTAATTTGTATCAGTAACCTGCTTCAAGAGTGTGTTCCACAAGCATGGAAGAGTTTTGATATTGCTTTTGGTACCATATTTTTTAATTTAGTCTACATTTGATCCAAATTACTCAAATTGTTATTTAATGTTTTTGGGCTTGTGGAGACATGTACATTCTTGCAATCTGCATAATGTGAAAACAGTTATAAAACAATTGCTACGGGCGTGTTCCTTTTTATGTTCTAGTTCAATGCTAAGTCAATGATTGTTTATTAATAGATGGACACTTAGGATGCAGACTAAACCACTGATAAGGCAGTAATGAAACTAAACTTGGTCTTTCACTTTGGCTATGTCTACACTACCAGGTTATTTCAAAATAAGCTTATCCCTCTTCACAAGCAGGAGTTATTTCAAAATAAAAAGACCATTATTTTGTAATGACAGGCTTGGTAGAGTGGACGCTAATCTTGTTATTTTGAAATAAGGGGAGTTATTTCAAAATAACTCACCAGTTTAGACATGCCCTTTCAGTAATGCATACTGGGCTAAAGTACAGTCTTGCTGGTACTGCCATGAGGGACAATAAAGGGATATAAGTCATCTCCTTATGTCCCTATGTGTGCTACCCATACTGTGTGTGTAAGTTCAAGGAGAGACATAATGAATGCAGAGCAGATACATCCTCCTCTATCCACATACATGAGTGTAAGGGGGGTGGGGGGGCAATGCCCAGTCTCCACTCAGGCCAACACAGCTCTATCAGCACTAGAGAATGTGTGGTATACCAGGAATAGATCTTGAAGTAAGGGGTACTGAAATTGTGATTATGTCACAATCTAGCTTCCAGTCTGCTCCTAGAAAGCTAGCTCTTTTTCATGGAAAAGCCATGATTTTGCATATTACTGTATGAGACTCTGCACTGAGTGAGAATTGGTTTAATATTGGATCAATATAAAAATAATAAAAAGAAAGGATATGCAAAGATATAAAATCAAAATAGTGTCTATCGTATGTAATCATAGTCTTCAGTTACACGTATTTGTTCATAATTTGCGTCTGCAGACTTTTGGTACATTTATGTTAATGTGACTATAGTTATCATGAACACACATACACATATGCTCTCACTCATATGCACATAGCTGCTGATGAAATTTGAAATTCTTGGCTGTTTGAGCTGTTACAATTAAAAATATAACCAGTTGTACATTTAAAATGGTGGGGGTTTTATGGATGACTAAATAAAATGTGCTTTAAAAACTAAATGTGTTGCCTGATGCACTTTTGGCTCTATTACAGGGGTGGGCAATAATTTTTGGTGGGAGGTCACTCCAAGACTTTGTAAAGTGGTCAATGGCTGTGTGACGGGCCGCCAGCGGCCCGCACGGGTGATGGTCCAGACCTCCGGGCGTAAAATGGTGGGGGTTTTATGGATGACTAAATAAAATGTGCTTTAAAAACTAAATGTGTTGCCTGATGCACTTTTGGCTCTATTACAGGGGTGGGCAATAATTTTTGGTGGGAGGTCACTCCAAGACTTTGTAAAGTGGTCAATGGCTGTGTGACGGGCCGCCAGCGGCCCGCACGGGTGATGGTCCAGACCTCCGGGCGGCGGAGAACGGAGGCGCAGCCCAAAACTCTCCCCCCCCGCCACCG